TGGTAGAAATCCATTATTATTTTTTTCAACCAGGTGGCCAAATGCCTCAGTATCATGTTAAAAAATTAGTTCTCCATTCACTGTTATGAAATGCCAACCTTAGAATTAAATTCTCATAAACGGAACACTCCTTCCAGACTCTTCAGGCTCTATTCTCCCTCGCCATATTTGTTTAACTTTTTTTCCAACAACACAATGGTCTCATTAATGACACTTTAGCAGATCTACTTCCTAACAGAATAAAGTCTCATTTTTTTTTCAAAGTTTTTCTAACTACTCAAACATTTAACCTTTTTGCACCAATTTTGTTTCTCTTCAAAGAATAAAAAATTCCACTGAGTTTCTAATTTTTAACCAAATTCCATTAAATTTATGGATAAACTCTTTTTAAATATTGGTTTTACAATACTGAGATTCCCAACCAGTAATAAGCAGACACACAAAGCTTCCTCACACACAGATATGTGTATATACAGTATTTTAATGTGACTGTGGATGGCATCCTGTGCCACACAAGTGAATTCCTTATTTGTCAAGTACCATTTCCATTCTTAAATCACAAAATCTTAGAGTTCCAAGGACACATCCAATCATTTGCTACCACTTAAGCGCAGTTATACTTTCCCCAACTCTGCCAAAAGAATCATTTCAAAATCAAACAGATGATACTCTTTACATACAACATATTCATAAAAGTGCTACCTGTATCACATAAAAGGAAAACAAGTTGGCCACATTCATTGAAGACCAGCCTGAATTGGAGAATCCTTTCAGAACGAAATTCATAGCTGAATTCAAAGAAACAGGAAACACCGGGAACTTGAACCACACGCCCTTCAGACAGTCCCATACTCTTTAGACACTCACTCTCACTTTCCAGGTGCAGGTATTCTATGCCAGTGTTGTTCAGCTGCAAAGTTCGGAGTGTCAAAACGATTCCTCTCCCAAAAACCCCATCATATTTACTGAGATCACAAACCCAACATCCACCCTCAAATGAAAGAAGCTTAGAACGCGATTCCCTCGCTGGCCTGCTCCTCTGATCACCTGTGGAGCTTCTAGAAACAGGACTTGGGAGGGTGGTACTTCAGCCTGCAGCAGTGGCCAGGTACTTCCAGTTCTACAGCTGCAGGAAGCTTTACTCTCAGCCCGAATTAAGAACTACTATTGTAAAGTATTTAAAGTGAGCAAAGGCTCTTAACACTCTCACATACAAGAACTGAGAAGGCGGAAGGTGGATTGGATTAAAAAATCATCTTACCCAGCCCAGCTACATTCTCCACTGATTATACAGAGAACCCTGTTCCTATATTGCCAAAGTCTCAAAACATAACGAAATACCACAACAAAGCTTTCCCTTTAGAGTAACCGTGCCCTGATGAAATAGGAAATGTTTACTTTCTCTCCCTTGAAAGCAATCCACTACCCTACCCTCCTTATCTCCCAAGAAAGGATCAGTGACCTTCACTTTGAAAATGACCAGCACTACAAAGAATTTAAAACCTCTTTTTCTCTGTGAAACGGGTGTGTAAATACATACATAAAAATGGCCTGAGATAATCATAAACTGACATGAAATTTTAGTCAAACAGCTGTTAACAAGCACAAACACACCAAGTATCCTGCAAAGAGTGCACAAAAGCAAAGGGAGAATATATGGAAGGAAAACACAATAATGCAGGTGTAAACTAAATCACACGGTCCCACTGTCAAACCATCCAAGAAAATGCTCACACTTTCTAATAACACCACACAGTGCAGAGATGAAGCCTGATGTGACTCATACTCCTGGGTTGGGTGACTCAGACACCCATTCTCCCCGGAAAAAGCACATGAAAAACAGCACCGAGCCATATAGCAAGCTCCCCATTCAGTCATTCGTGAGGGGAAAGCATGTGCTGCATAGACCCGAGTCACACATGTGCACTGAAGAAGCAGGTTCATCACACAAAATCACCCTACAGACAACTGCTCTTCCTTGCTCCAATTCTGTTCCGGTCCAAAATACTTTCTACCACTGTGAAGTCATCTGCTGAAAGAGATGACAGGAGTTTGCCCATCTGACAGGAAAGGTAACATGGACAGAAGCATTGCCACTTTCACATCAGGGACACTGCATGTTACTGCAATCTAGCCAGTAAGAGCCAAGGACTTTCACCTGTGAAGAAAGGGACTCGTGCCTCAACGGAATCAGTTTTGACAGTGCACAACTTGATACGTCTTTTCTTGGACATGTGTGTATCTCTACCAATGACAGAGTTCCTAGACCATAACCTTTACGTTATGTGATCACAGGAAGGAGTAAAACATAAGCACAAATACGATTAAGGAAACAGGTATGGCCTCAGAAAACCTATGGTGAAAGATGTGTGTTTCTACACACTAGCAAGCAGAATCAAACAAGAATAAAAATCTTCCTCTAAAGCTCTTACATATGAATGATTTCAGTGCAAGCAACATGCCTAGTGGGTGTCAAAAAGCAGACCTTGCTCCTAGAATATTTCAAACAAAATCAGTCTACTGAAAAAATGAAATGTTCAAAAATAATCCTTCAGTATTACTTTTAAAGTATAGCTATGATAGAAGAAATAATTTAGCTGAATTACTCTCAGGATCTTAATGAAAAATTTAGAAACATTCTAATCTCCAAAAAAGTGACTTTTTCTAAAGCAGACAGAGCCAAAAATCACAGCCTCCTTGAAGTTTTACATACATTTATATAACACACACATACACAAACAGAGCGCTTGAAAGTGAAATGAAGATCAGGAAAAAAAAATCACGACCTTATTGAAACAACTACCGAAACTAAATTCACACATGAAATGTATTTTCCAGTTTGTTCTCAATCTGTACTCCCATGAATACTTTTGCCCATATGCAATTACATGGTGGAACCAGTGCAATTAGGGGGGTGGAACTAATCTGCCTAAGAAGATGGAGAAGTTAAACCCCAACTTCATTATGCCCCAAATAAGCTACTCCTAAAATGCCCAGTGCAGATTACAACAATTCTCTCAGGAATTCTAACCCAACACACTACACTTAAGAAACTCGGCCCTAGAGACAGGTGACAAGCTTGTCGGTTCAGGGGATGCCTCGTTGCTAAACAGGAAAGTCCAAAATCTCTCTCCTCCATACTTTTTGTGCCTGTCTTCCTTCATTCTTTGCATCTTATCAGTCTGAATGAAACCAAAAGATAAATACATAAAAATAAAGTATCCCCAATTCTACACATATTACCTTCAATTCAGTATAGATTTGGGCTGTTTGGGGGTATTTTAGCAGGGGGAGGAGGAAGGGGAATTAGATTTCAAATTCTAAGAATTTCAAAATGTTATCTGCCTCCATGTTATATTCATAACAGCTGAAAGTTCATCATCACTTTTTCTGTGTTTTCTTCCCTCTTATCAATCTATCAGCAGGACATAAATTACCTGCAGACAAATGCAGTTGAAGAAAAGGTTGCAGGGTAGTCAGCAACTCATGAGGACCAGCAGAAAGCCGGAACCACCCTGCCTTCCCACCTCTTGAACCTGCCTGTCAATTCCATACATCAAGTTGTGGCATCACTCTCCAGCTACGACTTCATGCCATTCTTTTCCTACTTACAGTTCTGAACAAAGATCTGGACAAACCATTCAAAAGCCATGGGATTTCATTTCAGCTCACCTGAGTCTGTTACTTCCCTGAACTGCAGAGGGCCTAAAACCTCCCACCAGGTGTAAGAACCTGAGTCTATCAGATGATCTTGGTGACCTAAAGCGCTGCCTGCCTGACCTCTTCTACTAGGGACAGGAAGCAGGGTCATCTGGGAAAATGTCTTCTCCCAGCAGCAATGTACCTGAAGAGCTTTCCCGTCACATCTTCCTTCAGGAAGATTTTTTTCCAACTGAAAATCCTCTCACCTAAATTTACTATTCCCAGAATGCACTCAAGCCGATTTAAGCTGGAGGCCGCAGAGCTACTAAGGTTTTAACAAGATCATTCCCTTGGCTTAGCAGGTGAAGTAGTCAGTTAAGGCTCCCGGCAAAAGCAGCATCTGCAAGTGGTTTTTCAGGGATCGCTTATAAGGAGAGAGGGCTGGAATGCCAACATAAATACACTTAACAAATATCAGTCACTTATGTACCGGCCTGGCAATCAAAACAGCGACCCAAGTGTGGCGGGGGTGGGAGGGAAGCACTGATTTTTCTGGACGTGAGAGTTACACCAAACGCTTTGCGCTCATCACATACTACCCAATATTTTACCTGTCACTGAGGAAAGGGCACGTCAAATCCAGGAAAAACAAAAAGCAACAAAGTCGTTTTCCCTTCAAGGGGGGGTAGCAGTTTGGAGCCAGTGGCAGAGCTGGAGACTGCGGGGGGAGGAGGGGAGAAAGGGGTGGCGGGGTAGAATAAAAGAGAGGCAGTGGAGGTTTTTCCACAGGGCTCCACAACACAGACCACTGCGGCGAGAAAACGTGGGGGAAAGGGGACGAAGTCTCGCTAGGGGAGGGGGGCGGGGGAGGGGCAAAACCGAGTGCATATAGGCTCTGGGAAGGCAGGTGCCCCTCCCGTCGCCCACCGCCCCCCGCCCCACCCCCCGCACCCTGCGCGCCAGGACGCGAACCCGGGTACAGAGAGGAAGCGCTAGCGGCTGGTTACCTTGGGATGGAAGGCAAAGGGACAACCGGGATACAGAGGTCTGCAGAGGAGGAGGAGGGGAAGGGAAGGCAGAGAGGGGAGGCAGGGTCTTGGCTAAGTGCGAAACCCGGGATGAAGGCAGACCGCAGGACCCGGGCCTCTCCTGGCCAAAAGGCGTGGCCAGGAATCCAAATCACACGACGGTCCCTTCGAGACGCCAGGGCAAGTGCGCGGCCATCCCTCTCTGCTAACCCTTCACCCCCCGCGCCCCGGCGGGCCCGTCCGAGGGCCGCCCCGCGAAGCACCTGGAGGGCAGCGGGGCCCCGTCCGCACAGCCGCCCGCCCCTGCCCCCACCCCCGCAGTGCTCTTACCTCCACACCTGCCCCATCTGCAGCAGGTGGATGACCGACTGCCAGATCCACACGGAGAGGCGACACAGGCGCTGCGCCCCCGGCGTGGCCGAGCCCCCGGCGCCCGGGGCTCCGCGGGCCGCGCCGTGCCCGTAGCCGGCACCCATCATGGGGGGCCCCCGGCTGCTGAGCCCCTCCACGGCGCCCAGCCCGCCGCCCGTGTAGTCCTGCACGAACCAGCGGAAGCTCAGGCTCTGCACCAGCAGCGACGGCACCAGCACGAAGAAGAGGGTCAGCCCGAAGAAGCCGTAGTCCCCCTTGCGGTAGTAGTCGAGGGCCAGCCACAGGTCGGTGCCCACGTCCCCGAAGAAGACCAGCAGCGCCAGCACGATCCACAGGCAGTCGAGCCACGGCCGCTCCACCTGCGGCGGCTGCGGCGGCCGCGCGGCCGAGGGCGTCGGGGGGTGGCGGCCGGCGGCCCCGGGCGGCTGCAGCGGCTGGTCCCCCCCGTCGGCGGCGGCGGCGGCGCTGCGGCGCGGCTTCTTGCCCAGGAGGGAGCGCAGGCAGGCGGAGCGGCAGCCCCAGTAGCACGAGGAGGTGTTGCAGCAGTGGCAGATGTGCAGCGAGCTGCTCTCGCCGGGCTCGCTGTCGCCGCCGCCGCCGCCGCAGCCGCCTCCCCCGGGCTCCCCGTCCTCCTCGCCGCCGCTGCCCACCGCCTCGTCCAGGTTGTGCAGCTGGGCGAAGCCCACCCCCACGCCACCGCCATCGGATTTCGCCGCCATCTTGACTCTCTTCCCAGCTCCGGAGGTTGGGGGGGGAGGGACGGGTTGGGGGGGGAAGAAGGCAGGGAACGGGGAGGGGGGAACGAATGGAGAGGAAGGGGGGCGGGGAAGAAGCGGGGGAGCAAACGAGCGAGGGGGGAGTGGGCCAGGGAACCCCCTCCGCTTCCGGGTAGTTGGCGTCACTTCCGGGCGAGCCCCCCAATCGCACGGCGCCCGCTTCTCCCCAGCCCTACCCTCCCGGCCAAGATGGCCGCCCTCCTGTGCCTCAGCTGCTGGGCGGGGGACCGGGGGGTTCTCCCCGCCAGGGCTCCCCTTCCCCTCTTCCGTTGACCCCGAAACCCATCAGGTTGACCCCTCGGCTTTTCAGAATCCCGCTGGGCCGAGTGAGGCGATCCAAAGTGATCCCTGGAGGGGGCAGTGCCAGACGTTTTGGGGTCCCCTTCCTCAGCGTCGCAGCTCACAGCTTTCCTCCTGGAGAAACGCCCCCTAACACCCTCCCGGCTGCTGGCGGAGGGGCGGGACCTCTGAGGGAAGGGGCGGAGCTCGTGCAAAGCAGGTGATTATGTGTCACTTCCGGGAGATAGGATGACCTCATTGTGTAGTTAGACTCACATCTCCCCCCCACCCCATTTTAATGTGTCTCACCTCTTAGATGTTCCTTTCTTACTTGAAATTTCACTGTTACTTTTTTCTTCCTTTGAGGGGCTCTAAAAATTACTCAGGTCAGTTTAGATCCCCTAAGAGGACACCTCTCCTCCTCTGTTCCCTCTGTTGACCCCTGATTTCCTCCTCACTGACAACTTCACCATCTTGTGGAATAAAGTTTGCACCATTCCCTTCAGAAAACTACACAAGCAGAAATCAGTCTGGTTGTTTCTCACATATTGGAGTGGGGATGGACGTGGGATACTGTGACCTTGAATGTGGTTCCTGCACTGTTGGAATAAATGTCTACCAACTTTTTCTTTAAGTATGTGATTTTGAAATTCCTTAACCTTGACCTGGAAAATCCAGAGCCTGTGTGTATCAGGCTATTCAAATGTCTGAAGATTCCCTTTTAAAAAATATTTTTTGGAGGGGGAAGGGTGCTAAAGCTCTGTGGGTAAACGTGGCTTTAAATGAGTGAAGATGTTATCAAGGTGCTAAGTCATTAAAGCAGGTGCAGGGTACACTACATAGCTAACAAATTGCAAAAGTGCAGCAGCACTGAATGGATTTGAATGATAATGACCTTCCAATGTGTATTAGACACCAGATAAACAAGCTGTGTGGTTACAGTTGTCACTGATCTACTGAAATAATCATTTTGAAGTTAAAACACAAAATTTTTAAAAATTTAAAACCCTGGAGTTTCTCATTGAGCTCCCCAAACTTTTATACTCATTTTTTACTCATTTTAATGATTCTCTCCACTTCTTACAGTAAGATCTTCTAATAAGTGCTAATAACATTCTGTAGGATGTGAAGAGAGCAAATTAGGTAGCATTTGTGTGTCAGTGAGGTTCTTTGGAAGAGGGTGGCTTTGAGAACATTAATGGTTACTTTGATCTGTATGATAGTTAGCCCTGCAGTACCTAGAGAAGTTTTAGAGTGGGGTAGGACAAAATGAAGGCACCACATTCAAAGACCTGCATTTTTAAGAATATGAATGCCAATGTTAAACCTATAAAGACTTTACAGAAAGTAGGAACAGAAAATTCTCATCCTGGATATTTGAAGAGGAGAAACAGGTGACTCCAAAATCTACCTTTGGAAACCAATCGAATTTTATTGAATGCTGTTTTTTTTTTTTAAGCCCTACCCTGATGTCGATAAAACACAGCCATCAGGTAAAGATTATATCTGCATATGGATAGGATTTTGACTCTATGAAATTTGAATGAACAACACTTTCAATGACATAAGTGTAGAGGAAGACTCTTAGCTTTGGACCACAGTTCCACTAAAATAATACTATAAGTAACAGAAGTAAGATGACCCCTTTAGACCTCAGCTGCTGCTTACATTTACTGGAGATAACAACAATGCTTGCTTTGAAAAGGTCCTGGGTGTATTAAAGGTGAAAACCCATTCAAAGCTCTCAATATGACACCCACTAGGTAACAAGCATATGTAGTAGCTGCTATAATTATTATTCCCAATGCTATTGTTGATATGTCTACAGCATACCAACATGTATCTACTTAGATTACGTCATTGAATAGATTTGGTGTCTCTAATAAAACATGTTGAGCTACTCCTAGGAAATAGGTGCAATTAATTTGTGTTTTAAAATGTATTTTCTCAATTTAAACTGTGAGGCTATGAAAAGAGACACAAAAGGAAGTGGTAAAGCCATATTTATGATTCCTATTTCTCTGTGCCTAGAAATAGCACAATCTACGAGTGAAATTAGCTAAGTAAATTACACTCACTATATAAGGCTGACAAAATTGAGGCTATGAGTCAAAGTATCACAACTGGAGTTTCAGGAAGATATGTGAGATTCACAGTCAGGTAACTTCAACTTTGCATTCACCATGTCAACAACAACTTTATCAGTCTTTAGTTAGAAAAGGACATATTGTAGAATCCACAAGTTCTAAAATTAAAATCAGATACAGTGATCATAAATGTATCAATAAAATTCACTGAAAGATTAGCATAAATTTAGACTGTGCTATGAATGTGCTTTTTTTTTACCTAGAACAGTGAAGCAAGTAAGTGCTCCAAGAAAGCTCAGCACTTAGCACAACCCTGAACATGTAATGATCACTCAAAAATGTTAAATGAGTGAGTTCAATTAATTTTCCAGATAATTGACATTTAACCTTTCCAGGGTCCAAAATATATTTCACTTTATAATGAATCTTATAAGTCTTCTTGTAACTCACTGCCATATTGCAGAGTTACCTCAAAACTTTAGTTAAGGGCCAGCACCTACAATGTATGCATCCCATGTGAGTACTCTACTTCCAATTCAGCTCCCTGCTAATGTACCTGGGAAAGCAGCAGCAGATGGTCCAAGTGTTTGGGCCCCTGCCACTCACATGAAACACCTGGATGGATGTCCTGACTCCTCTCCTGGCTCCTCAATTCAGCCTGACGCAGCCCTTTTCATTGCAACCATTTGGAAGTGAACTGGCAGATAAAAGATATCTCTTTCTTTCTCTTTCTCTTTCTCTCTCTCTCTCTCTCTCTCTCTCTCTCTCTCTCTCTCTCTCTCTCTCTCTCACACACACACACACACACACACACACACAGAGTAACCCTGCCTTACAACCATTGCTCTGCGCTTTGCTTTCTGTACACCAGGCACATAGCTAACCTTTTGTGTTTTCTATATTTGTTTACTTGAAAGGCAGAGTAACAGATCTTCCATCTCCTGTAATTGCTGCAACTGCCAAGGTTAAGGCTGAAACCAAGAGCCAGAAATTTAATCCTGGCCTCCCGTGTGGATGGCAAGAACCCAAACCCTTGGGTTATTTTCAGCTGCCTTTCCATGTGCATTAACAGGAAGCCAGATCTGAAGTGCAGCCTCTAGGACTTGAAATGAAACTACACTTTGATATAAGATACTGGCATTATAAGGAGAGGTTTAATATAATGTGCCACAGCCAGTTCCTGTTGAACCTTTTCTCAACAGTCAGAACTTTAGGGACCTTCTGTTAAGAGGCTCTGATTAGCTGTCCCTGCCCAGATCTGCTGGAGTATTTGTTGGTGGTTATTGTAGCAGTAATTTGTTTCTAACAATTTTTTTGTTTTTGTGAATTTCTGCGTTGGCAGTTCAGTCATTTCACAGTTTTGATCCCTTTATTTCCCTTCACTCTAGACTGAGAAGCCAAACTACACAGATGTTGAAAATATGTGTAAAATAAAGTCAAGTAGATTTTTGGAGCCTTTTCTACAAATAAAATACAAGAGCTTTATGATAATTTTGGCTTTGCAAAAGTCTGAAATGTGAGTGTTGAAGGGAGTGGTCTTTCCTAATTATTTGTTATTTACAGAAAACCAAAAGAGTAAAGTTGGAACTGGTATTGTGATGTAGCAGTGTTACTACCTATGACACTGGTACCCCACACTGGAGACCTGTTCAAGTCCTGACTGCTTTGCTTACACTCTAGCTGCTTGCAAATGCTCCTGAGGAAGCAATAGATGATGGCTTAATATTTAGACCCCTGCACCCATGTGGAAGACCTGAGTGGAGTTTTGGGTCTTTGGGCTGGACTCAGCCCCAACCATGGTGCTCACTTGAGTGGTAAATCAGCAGGTGGAAGATCTCTTACTCTCTGCTTGTGTTTCTCTCTCTCTCTCTCTTTCTCTTTCTCTGCCATTCTACCTAAAACCCTTTTTTTACATGGTAAAGTTATTTCTTAAATATTCTCCAAAATATCATTTTTAATCTTAGGATGTTTCAGGGGAAAAAGCATGAGGATAACTATCCCCATTTTAATGGTCTAAAAAACAACCTGCCAAGTAACTTACCAAGCCATACCTTCAACAGGCAGGTCACCATCAGGATCCTTTTCCAAAGGTCTGTGATTTCAAAGCCTGAGGCATCTCCTCTGTCATCAGCCTGGACCAGGCAGCTGTTGCCACCTCTAATTGGAGTCAGTGTAATTGTGTTCATCATAGGAGGACTCCAAAGAAGGTGCCAATGTGTCTAGGAGACAGATCCAGTGCAGCAATGGCTGTCTAAGAGCATTGTCACAGCGTGCACTTGTATATTCTTTACCTGGTTCCCCTGCCTGGAGCTTGGGTAGAGCGTCAAAACTCTAGATGTCATCCTCATTTGTCTGTGCCTTGTGTCTTAACTGAGTTCTATGGATACAGGATCTCCTTGAGTGCTGTGGAGTGAGATCATAGAATTCATTATTTCTAGAAGTTGTCTCATGTATTTGATGGGAAGAATTTTAGTTCCAGCAAGCACTCTCTTACATTATTGTGGGTACAATATTTACAGAAGGAAATCTGATGGTATCAAAATTACAAACACAAGATCCTCTGAGGCAGCAGCCCTTCTTGGGGAAATTAGTGCTACG